ATCTGATAGTAGGCTGCGTCTTATTCAATCAAAACCAAAAGAACAAACAGTCTTTTACAAATTCTACAACTCAAAACTACATTAAAAAAAAACAAAACATTCTTTTTCTCTCATCACCCCTGCTTATGTTTCTTTGCAGGGTGGACAGCAGAAGCATCACATGACTTGTTTGGTTTACTAGAACAAGGTTGCACAGGCCCAGACTCATCATCATCATTCCCCTTCAATATCTCCATGATCGATCTCGCTTTTACTTTAGTCTTACCCAGCTCCTTCCCTCCAGCTTCAACATCTTTCCTTGTGCTGTTGTTGTCATTACAAGGCACTACCTCATCTGCTTTCTTACCTTTGTCTCCAGGCTGTGAACTTTTAACGGCAGGAGAAGAAGCATTATTGTAGTTGCGATCAAAGTTCGTCCATCTGAACATAGAGCTGAGTTTCAGTAGCTCCAACGCCTCCACAAGAACATTCAGCTCTTCGATTGGGTACCTATAGAGAAAGCACTTCTTCCCACTCGGACAAGCACAGAGATTCCTCACGTGGCTCAGACACGAGTAACGTTCATCAGAACATGAACACTTGACCGCGGAGAGATGCAAATCCACGAAACAAAAACAGCACTCCTTCTTGCTTACATCATCATAACTCTTGTCCATCTTTTGTGACTTTAGTGAACTAGCAAGAAACTCTCGTCTACTCTTCTCTTGCTTCACCCGTGACTACACAAAAAAAAAAGATAATAGTAAGAAAGATCCTCACAGCTACCAAAGAAGAGATGTGAGCATACCTTAATAATGCTGGTGAACAAACCCTCTTTACCGCAAGAGTTATACCATCTCATATCCTCTGCTGTTTTCTTCTTGGATAAAGAGTACTCCTTAAGGTGTTTCACAGCTTCTCTTGCAGCTCCTAGTAATATCTTATCAAACGATATTAATGACTTTTTCTTCTTCTCTTGGTTCTGATGAACAGCAACATCCCCATGGGGTAACCAATCAATGGGAGCAAAGTTTACTTTCTCCAAACAGTTGAAGCCACAGTTAACAGCAGAGTAGCATGACCCTGGAAACAATATAACATACTGGCCAGGGTTCTGGACACACCTGGTCACTGGTATACCTTCCATTTTCAGCGCATATGGAGACACTACCATCACCTGTCAAATGAATTATCTTCCCTATAAGTGTTTAAATAGTTCACTTGAAGACAACAGACGTTATGATAAGTGAGTTTTGACAAGAGTAAAGTGTATTGATGCTTTAATGTGCTTTTAAGTACTTACAGGATCACGGTTCCTCTTTGAATGTTGTTCTCCAGACATATCAGGGAATAAGCTCATCACTTTAGAACGATGACATCCAGCTACAGAGTACCACACTCTAGGAGCTCCCATATGCAAATAGCAGAGCGAGTAGAGTCTGTCCTTTTCAGATTTCTGTACATCATTCCAGGAGACAAATATAAGCAAATTAGATTGCACAACTACAAATGAGGGCATAGTTTGATATAAACTCCAAAACTTACCCAGAACTGGGAAGACATAAGCATTCCTACACTTAGGCGAGGAACACCAACTGATTCACAGTCTACAAACGAGAGTAGAGAACCAGGAAGCTTAGCCGTATTGTTCAGATTCCAACCTGATGTTTTGTACTTGCAAGATTCAGATGGTCCAGGTAAGGGAAACCCACTGCTGAACGTTCTGGTGTCTAGATCACTGCCACAAAGAACCTAATTCAGACCACGAGTTAGTCATGTAGCATGTTACCATATATAATAGCAATAGACTTGATTTTAACATTACCTCAAGTTCATCAAGTGGACACTCAACAAGTTGTCTATACTCTTTTTCAATATCTGCCACGGTTGGCTCTATGCTAAAACGCTTCTTCTTACATGAATCTGCAAAGTTCTTAAAGGTCTCCAAAGTTTTCCTAGGACCAGGTTCTATTCTACAAAACTTGATATTCTCTGATGTATGATCATCATCAGCCTCCTTCTTAATCATTGTGTCATCTGCATCAAAGAGCTGTAATTGAGTGTCGAATTGGGAAACCTCCCATATCTCCTTCTCCTCGAGAATACATGGAGGTTTCCAGGAAGGAGGAGGAACTACACAACAGATTCCATAAGGCTCAGCTTTCTCTCGCAAGCTTGCAATATACGAGAGTGTGTCACTGAACTCCTGACAATTCAGTAACTCTGGGTTAGATTGTTTACCAAAGACGATGTTAAAGCAGTTAACTCCTACCTAGTGTGTCTTTTTATGATGGAAAAGCAAAACTAACCTCCTCGGTTGGGTTAAACACTGGAGCTTCCTCAAGGGATACGTTCTTGGAGACTCTCTGTATCCGTTTTTCCTGTACCTGTGAAAAAGAATTGGTAAAAACTTGAGTAAAGAATGCAAATGACTCGACATACAATCTTGATACCTACAAGCACACATCAGGCTCCAAAGTGTTGATGCTAAATCATTAAGAGCAGGCACTAAAGTAACTAAAGGCATAAGCGGCTAGAAGGGATATGGAACTTTCAGGCTTAGCTAACATCAATTGCCAAGTCTATTAGTAGCTATGACTTAGCACACATTCCATAAAACCTCCACTTCAAAGATTGTTTTAAGAAAACATATCCACAAATATACATGTTTGTATATGATGACTAGCTTCATCACAAGAAATAAAATCAATATGAAAGAAAGAGAGAATTGAGATAGGCATAGTTAGTGTACTACCTCAGGTTTCACTGGCTTTAAGGCCTCTGAAGTGGGATTCGTGTGATCATGCACTATCCACGGTCGTCTGTTAAGAGACAGCTTGAAACTAGGATCACCCATACCGAAACCAGATATCTGCTCTTGTCCCACCACCGATCTTGAGCTTTCTCTGTCTTGGTGTACATTCTTCAGCACAAACGTTGTTTGAGAGACAAAACCTGGAGGAGTTGACAACTTTTCCATATTCCCAGTTTTTGAATATGTGTGTTTACCTTCAATGCCCATTAAAACCTTACAGCCCCCACCCAAAATATTATTTTCCGGAAGAGAAAATAAAGTTGAGTTTCAGAAGAGGTCAACAAAGCTGCAACTTTCCTGCTGAAGATGAGAAAGCAAAAATTTCAAGATTCTGCTTTTGAAACTGTAGAAGACGAATCGTTCTTGCTTATACTCAAAAGATTATCAATTCCCCTCTGAAATTCAAGAAAACAGTTTCGGGACAAATAAAAATCCAATCTTTACACATAAAATCGTTCTTGAATCCACAAAATTAAGAACCTTTTCAAAGAAATTCACCTAAAGGAAGCTCTTTTTCAATCACAGGATACGCGAAAAATCATTTGCAGAGATAGAAACAAAAACCGTCGCGGAATAAGTATCGGATCTTATAATAAGGATTCAAAATCCAAAATTTTCAGACAAGAACCGAGTAGAACACATACCTAGGCGAACTGAGATTCCAGAAAACTTTCAGATATTACCAAGCAAGTGCCTATGGAGTCTGTTAATTTAGAATGTATTATATATATATATATTGTAAATTAATTTCCAGCAGAAATTAAATTTCCGTTTCTATATATATTTTCATTCATTTCCGGATATTTTTTTGGTCAAGATATTAACATATTTATTCTTTTTTTTGGTCAAGATATTAACATATTTATTCCCTAAACTACTCTAACATAATTCTCTAAGGAATGTATTTGTTTTAAACTAAGAGTTTTAGATAATTTATAGTGAAAGAATAATTTTACTGTTAATTAAACATAAATTATAAAAACTATTTAAAATTTATTGTTATTAATCTTTTAAATATACTCTGAATTTTTTTATTGAAAATATTTTAAATTACGAGATTTTAAAGTTTTTTAAGTGATATTAGAGTGTTTAGATAGATTTTTTTAAAAAGAACAAATATCCAAATCTTATAGTTGTAGATAAAATTTTAAGATGGTTTAACAAAAAAAATTGTTAAATTCTTCGTTTCGTATAAAATAATTTAGAAAATTCGTTACAAATTAAATCACTTCGACCTTTCTAAACTCTCACAGTTGTTTTTGTTCAACTCTCCCGGTTATATTAAATTCTTCTTTTTTTTGATCAAAATATTATTAAATTCTTCTATTCCTATAAAATAATCTAGAAAACTCATTACAAATTACATTCGTTTTTATATAAATCAAAAATTTCAACAAAACCAAAAATATCACTTGCAACAGAGATTTGACCTGAAATCGACACATGAACATTTTGATTTCAATAGCATTACAACATCAAACAGATCACACAAAGAACAACTTAAGTTGCCAAAAACAAGAACAAAAATAAAGAACAAAAAAAAAACAAAACACATTGTATCAACTACACCATTTCAACATTTCTACTACCGTTGTTGTTTTGCTCATTGTTTTCATTTTCACCAGACATTTCTTCAAGCGACTTCCCTTTAGATTCAGGCACCAAGAACGTGAAGAGAATCCCCAAGAAGTTAACCACACCTAACACGAGAAGCGAGTTCCTGACCCCAATACCTGGAGGGTATCCTGCATCAGTCTTGTTCTTGTCAGGGCTTTGAGCCAAGTACAAGAATCCAAACGCACCAACCATCGCACCAAGCTTTCCTGATGCGGCAGAGATACCATGACATGTTGATCTGAACCTAGCTGGAAAGATCTCCGCCGGTACAACAAATGTTGTTGCATTAGGTCCAAAGTTAGCGAAAAAGAAGGTTAAGGAGTACATGATAACGAAACCAATCCGGTTATCTTTATGAGTCCAGTGGTTATACGGAATAGCCAAAGCAAACATAAACACCGTCATGAAAAAGAATCCCATCAGCTGAATAGCGAATCTTCCAATGACATCTATAAACGCAACTGTGAACCAGTAACCAGGTACCGTGCTACACAAGGCGATGAGGGTTTGCGCACGTGCGATCTTGAAAACTTCTTGAACCGCGTTCATGGTTTGAGCCGGAGGGATCCACCCGATGGCACTGAAAATATCTTTTTGGAAAAGGTTTTGACTATAGAAAGCGATATCGAGAAGGAACCAAGTTGATGTAGTGCCAAGCAAATGAAGTCCATGACGTTTCATGAATTCCTTGGAAAACAAGGAAAAGGATTTTGATTTATCAGTTGAAATCTCTTCCAAGATCTGTTCCGGCTCTATCTCCACTTGCAGAACCCTAGACATGTCTGAAGCAGCCTTCGTTGCGTCTTTAGCAACCAAAGCCGTGTATCTTGCCGTTTCCGGCATCTTGGACCTTGAGTAGTAAGTCATCGACGCAGGGATAGCACCAAACATGAGGATTATACGCCACACAAAATCTGCTTGAGGAACCGTGGAACCCAAGGCATCTTCCGCATAGGCCGGCGCTGGGAACTGAGCATCAAATATCGAGGCAATGATAATAGCAAAGATGCCACCAGCCATGATCCCAAACCCTTGCATCGCGAAAACCGCGGAAATAAACGCGCCACGTGTTTTCTTGTTAGCGTATTCAGACATGATCGTTGCGGATAAAGGATAGTCACCACCGATCCCGAACCCTAGCCAAAACCTAAAGAAACATAGCGTGGCCATCACGGATTTTGGCTTGTCGCTAAAAGAGAGACCAGAGGCTACGGAGCAGAGAACCATGATCATCAACGTCATGCCATACACTTTCTTCCTCCCGAGCTTGTCACCAAGCCACCCGAAAAAGAGTTGACCGGCTAGGGTTCCACAGAAGGCAACACCGTTGGTGGCAGCAGCTACATTGGGAGGGAGGCTTCCAGGCTTTAAGGAGCCTGCTTCGTGGTAGTAAATGCGGCCGAGGAGCTTCGTGACAAGAGAGATGCAGAAGAGATCGTAAGCATCGGTGAAGAATCCCATTCCAGCGATTACAATCGCAGTAAAATGGTACCATTGTGTCTTCGCTACATCAAGTGCATTCAACACTTGTAACTGATTGTCTGCCATTTTTCTTCAGCTCTGTAATATCAATTAAAAAATCAATAATAGTAATTTTTTATAGCATTTTGGTTGTCATAAGATCAACTGATGAATCATGTAAGCAAGAAACATGTGTGGAATATCTAAGTAGAAAGAAATTATTGTGGATAAGTTGATGTTTCAATCAAGTAAAAAAAAGGTTCATTACTAAAATCCAACTAGTGTTTAAAAAGATTTGTTAAGCAATTATACAGACATGAAAAATAGTTATGTGTAATTGTCAATTCCAATATTTAATTCATAATTTATATGATTTTACATTTTTCGGAAAAAGATCCTATTATTCTGGTTTCTTTACCTCCACGTAACCAAAAAGTAAACGATGATATGGTAGGGTAGGTCTATTATGTATGAATTATCAAGTGATGCTCAGATTAACTAAAATTAATTTCCATCCTTACAGAAAAAAGTATGGATTATCAAACGATACATAAATATCCAAAAACATTAATGAAAAACAAAGACTTACATGAAAATACAAATCTTCTTCTACGTGTGTGAAATGATCTTTGATCTCTGAGGAAAATGCAGAGAGGGAGACAAAGAAAGTGAAATGAGGGCTGAAGGCTGCTGATGAACAAGTACATAGTGTTGAAACGCCAATTTATAAGCGAGTCTATATGAGAGATTTATTTAGGACAGGATGTTTCTGTTTTGCTGTAAATGTTATTTTATCATCGAAAACATAGCTGGTCCAATATTATACAACACGTTCTTGTTTTTTTTTCTCGTAGTTGACCATGATTTGTTTTGTGATACGGAGAGTTTAATGCTTGAAAAACGCAAATATTTTAAATTCTAGGAACTTCACTATTTAATTTATTCACTAGATACCTATTACCTGCCATACTGTCGAGGCAGATAAAGGTTTCAAATACTAATAAAGTAAAATTTCGTACAGTTATTTTTGACAATGTCGTACACTTTTTAAACACTAGTTATAATACGTGAATTCAATTAGAAGTATGTTCAGACTTTGATTGCTTATTTGAAAGATCTTATGTTTGACATATATATAATCATCATTTAATTAAAAGAGTGTTACTCACTCTTGAGTTGGCAATAAATCTGAAATACTTCAGATCAAAAAAATCTGAAATACTTTCATCATATACACTAAAACTTCCAAAAAGTAACAATGCTTATTATAATTTTTTAATTAATTTATAGGATATTAAGTAGGCAGTAAATAGTAATTACAGAGGAAATATTACTTATAGTTCATAAATTTTTAAATATTAACATTTTAAGTTAAATTACTAATAAACAATGTATAAAAACCAAAAAAAAATAATTAATGACCTCATCTTTTATGATCAAATATATTTTCATATCATATAGGAAATTCATGTGAAATTTTTGCATATGCACTCTATTTTATTGAGAATATGGTTAGAAAATATGTTCATTTTTATTATTATTATGTGTGTTAAAATTATTCATTAAAATATAATCATTTTATAATTAAGGTCTCTAATTCATGGTAAATGACTCATAGCTGTGAGTTTTTCACCTTGGTTCGAATCCAACCACTTACAAACTCCGCATCTTCACGGAGAATTCAATTTCACTGGGTCCATGCTTTAAATGATAAGAAATCTGAATTTTATAGGTTCGTAGTGATTACTCATTGGACCTAAAAATTTATGAAATCATCACGGTTATAGAAAAAAATATATATATTCATTTCGTTAAAACTAAACAGTTAACCAACTTGAAATTCCATGTAACATAAATACGTATTAATATAAGAAATGTGTTTTTCCATTTTAGTTGAACTCACGATTACAAACCATAGAGTATGGGGACCAAACCTGTAGAAAGTTAACAGGCATGCATATTCGAAGCCAATATGAGTGAATTACATGCAAATTTACTTTCAAACAATAAGAGGTGTTGGTAACTTCAGCTTTAATTTTCTTCCAGTCCATTTTATTTTCCAACAGATATTATATATGTTTCCTAAAAGTCCTAATGGATTATTAAAACTTATTAACCATGTGTAACTCATAAATCATAGGTTTGTAACAATGAATTCATAATTCAGTAAAATTTTCTTGGTCAAGGAAGCGGGTTGTGGTGGTCATGGATCTCACATCT